CTGTCTCCATGATTTAATTTAAGGAAGAACTGGATGGCTTGTAACTGCTTCTGCATGCTCTGCAAGTTAATGGATTACTTTGACATTTTCATCACATCATTCATCTTCTATTTGTTTCTGAAAAGCGTATGATTTGTGATTTTCTTCATGGGAGCAGTTTCCTATCTAATTTCTCCACTTAGTAATGTACAAAATACTTAGAGATACTGTATTAGTTCGTTGATGTTTTGTAGTGGGTTTGCAGTTTACAGGAACTGCTGAAAAGAAAATGAAGAAAGACCTTTTACTACCGTGTTATTACAGCATGAAGCCGTCTATTTCTGCTCCAGATCAGTGAAATATGTAATTTGTACTTCTAGCCTATGCTTAAAGACTTTGGTAATTTTGGATCTGGCTCACAAGTGTAGGGTCTCTTCTCTAAACATCTTTCATCAAAGACGCATTTTCGAACAATAATGATAGACCTTATATAGTACTTTTGTCGTAGATCCCAAAGTGCTTTGTAGTGGAGGCCCATAGCAATATTTTCATCCTATGGTTCCTTTGTCTCAGTTTCCTTCTACAATGTGCATATTTGATTTCTCTCCAGTATGGGCTAGAATAAAAATATTGTAAGAAAGAGCAAGAGAAAGAAACTACTAAGGAAAAAAAAAACTCATTAGAGTTAAGACATGTGATTTGTCCTCTCAAAGAAGTGGATTAAACTTGGTAGGAAAACAGTAGATCACTTTCCAAGAGCAAAGCAAATTGAGACTGATGAATTTTTAGAATTTCATCTAGTATATTAGTAGAAGGTTGGTAAATAGCAGAAGCTCAAAATTACAGAAGACTTCACTTGGGCAACGGCAGAGAGTGCTGGGATGAATTTTGGTTTAATTTCTATCACCACTATTTAGTGAAGTGTATTGGTGAAACTAATGAAGATTTTTTACTCCTTACTGATTGCAACCTAGTGCCCATTAGGAAGCCCTGTCTATCATTGTTGGGGTCATGCATGATATGGGAGCACAGTGGCCTCTATATTTAGAAGTGCTGGGCGTGCATACAGATCTCAAACGTTATTTTTTTGCTGGGCAGCTGAGTGAAAATTTTGATTAGAGGTCCCTAGTGGAAAAGAAAGAATGGAAATGCCAGCTTTTCAGAAAGAAATAGCAAATCATCAATTTTGACGAACAGAAGTTGTCTCACATGTTCAGTCCATCTTCAATGTTAATTATTCCACTGCAAAATCAAAATGAAAACAAATGAAGATGCAGAGAAAGAATTTTATGTGAGATGAGTTTGAAAAGATTAGACTGTTTATGCAGATGTTTAACCTCAAGGTTATATAGAAGATTATATTGAAGATTTTACTTATCTTACCTCAGTATGAAAGAAAAAAACAAAGGAAATACAGAATATGTTGGAATTGGAAATCATATCGAATATAATTTTAAAAGATAATAATTAGCCCATGGAAATCTCCAAATGTAGTAAAGTATGCACTATAGAGACAATGAGTTCTGTAACTTTTTTCAACAAGTGGGTTTTTCTATACGTAATAAAACTTATCTCCCGATTTGGTACTTCCACCCATTTCAGTGAATAAGCTAAACATTTACTCTAGCCATTAGGGATGAGGAGCTTCCTGAAAACCATGTTTTTTCATGATTTTCTGTCAGATTTTACAGTTTCCTGTAGCATCTGATACCAATCACTTCTGAGATAAGATTTCAGAGCAGCTGAATAGCAATCTGATGCAGTCTGACATTTTTTCTCCTTGTGATGATGATGGTCATTTCTATTGTCTCTTGAAAGCTAAACAGATATAGGTATAGAGAAAGGGATAGGGAGAAACTCCACAGAAGATATTCAAAAGATTAGGAGAATTTATCTGGTAGTAAATGAAAAGGTTATGATGAAATATATATGGAGTTAATGTTAAGTAAGTGTGTCCTTCTGTGCATCATTTGTTTCAAGAGGAAAGGTGAATAAGTCAGTAAAAATACAGGTTAAGTATTTTGTGCAACTTCATACAACCACATGACTGAAGCCAAAAGCTTTGTAGAAATACAGAAAAAAAAATAGTTTGTGTTTGTTTGTATAATAGGAATTTAAATAAAGATTTTTGATTTAAAGAAAAACTGTCATGCTTCAAGCAAAAATTGAACCCTCATTGGTGAGGTTTAAGAAAAAACGTCCCTGATAGATACATCATACTGTTTGTTTTAGAAGGTCATTTGACTTTTTTTAGTTTACTTGGTATCTCATAGTGTCTATTATTATAGAGAAAATTCCCAGCTAAGGCAGACCAGCAGTTTGGTCGAGCTTGGGCATATCCATTTTTCTTATCTTAGCTAATCTAATTTTCTACTGGTATGGTGGGTAACTCAATTCAAAGCTAAAATGTTTTTTAAAATGGTGGCACGCCCTAGAGCCAGGTCATTGACCTGAGTTTAATAGTATAATTCATGTTGCTTGGAGTTAGTGCATTGCATCGAGATTGAACAGCTAGTCCTCCAGGGTGGACAATCTAAGACAATCAGCAGAACCTTAGGCCGAATACTAAGATACAGCTCTGGTTAACGATAACAAGACGAGGCTTACACATGTAGCAGAAAGTACATGAGTGATCAGTTCTGCATACCCTATTTTCAGTTAGTGGCATCAGGGCAACTGACTGTTTCACTGTAATTTTATAACACACTTTAAAGACAGCCCACCTACACTATCATTTTGGGCATCTTCATGGGTTGTCACATAGTTCTGTGACAGTATGTGGTCATTTGTACAAATAGCCCAGGGGTTTCTGATACTGTCCTGTTCCCATACCTTTAGGGCCTCTGCAATCTTACAACCTTGGTTACCCTGCTAGGCTGCTCACTTTTACACACAGACTTCTAAAGCTACTCACAGTTAACTCTACAGAATAATGAGATTTAAAAGTATGCATATGTATCTGTGTATACATACGAATATGAGAATTTCTTAGCTCCTTGCTAGTAATATCCAGTTATGACAATGTAATTGGTATGTGTTAGAATTTAATTCATTTGGGGTTATAGTGAGTATTTTTATGTTATGCAGACGTAGTGGTAATGAGTCAGGAATTGGCATACTGTCCTCTGAGTCAGGATATTAGGGGGCATTGTGTACCAGAGGTACCTTCTTTTGGCTTAGCCACAGATCTGACCATCTGTGGTCATAAAAGATCCTGGGAATATTTTTGTAATAACCTAGTTTAGTGACCAAATTTGATTATGAGTAATGGCATTTGAATGAACTTTCCCAAATTATTACTATTACTTCTTTTATAAAATATGCTTTGTTGTGTTGTCCTTTTTATATATGTAATTTTATACATTTTAATCTGCTATTAATCATATGGAAGGTCCAGACAAAACTATTGTTGCAGATAGTTTGCAAAGCTGTGGAGTGCTCAGATCCTTTGTGAATATTGATCGTTATAACTATGCCTGTGTGCATAGGCAGTTCAGATGCTGCCTTGAGATGATCAAAGGTTATTGTCTGCAAAAAACAGATGCATGACGTTTTCTGTCCCGTTATACCGCTTGGGCATGAAAGTTGCTAATCACATTCTTCTTTCAAATTTAAAAGCCTACAAGCAATCTAAACAAACAATGAGAAGTTCAGTAATCCACTGGGATCTTATGAATGTTATAGAGCATGCAGAATATGTATTAAAATAAAGGGCCTGTTATGCCCAAAGGAAATAAATAACTGCCCTTCACTTCTGTTAGAATTCAAGATAAATTTTAAGGTGTTTGACTAGTTCAGTGAAATGTGATTTGATTTGATTTGATTTGATTTCAGTACACTGAAGGAACTATGTTGTTAATTCCTAGATTAATTTCCTTCGAAAACTCTTGCTGGATGTTTGTAATTCACATAGATCTGATTCATACTTCTTCTATTACAGCTTAGAACAATACAAACATACCTGGTTAATTTTGGAACTCTACTGTATGATATGGGGGTTATATCGAGATGAAACTTAACAGAGCATGTCTTCCCTAAAATAAGACAGAAGAATATGTTTGATAACCATCTCAAAATTATTTTTTCTAGGTTACCCTTCAAATGGTAAATAACAAACTGGAGTAGGATTTGATAACATTTGTATCTAGGGGCTTTCATCACTGATATTTTTTCATCCCTTCAGCAATATCAGCCTTATCACCTCTGTAAATCAAAACTTTTTGAATTTCTGTGATGGAGACTTGAAGTGACATTGTGAGATATCACAGAACTGTCCCATCTACTATCAGTTTAGACCGCTCTAAGAAGCAGGGTTTCTTTTAAAGCTGAGTGAGTGTAGAAGCCTAAAATGGAAAGGCTTTGCTCTCCTTTGCAGGCAACAAAACAGAAGTAATTATTCCTTTTTGTCTTCTGGCAGTGCTCAACAGCTGTAATAAGAACAGTATTTTCTCTGAAAGAAAACCCCAAACCCAAAACCCCCCTCCTCCAGCTACTAAAGTGTCACCTGACTGCAGGGCTTTACATTGCTTATTGAAAGCCAAAGGCCTGACTTTGAGTCCCAGTAGCTTATTCTTCAAGCTGGTAAGATCTGGATCCCTCACAAAGGCAGTGAACAGAGAGACAATAAAAGCAGAAGCCTCGTTTGTGGCTAGGTCAACAGTGGAAGGGATGCAGCCATGGCTGGGTGCATTCACACAGCGGACTGCATGTGACATGCAAAAGTCAGGGAAATTATCATGTATCCAGGCTTCCAAGAGTAAAAAGGAGACAGGCAAGTCTGAATCCCACAAGTAGCTGGCTTGGACAGTGAGCTGAAAGCATGAGGACTTAAAATGACAGGGAAAAATGGCTTCTAGGATTATTCCCAACCACCAGAGAAAACAGAAGTCCTGTGGGTAGGTATCCAGTGAAAAAGCCACTCTCACTGACTTGGAAAAATACTGGACAAGTAGAGAACGATGGGAAAATGTGACACAGTAGCAATACTATGTTGTTGATATCAGTGTTTCACTGTCCCATAGGTTTGAAGTTTGAGGAAATGCAAGAAAAGTTTGGGGAGGAATTCTTCAACATCTGCTTTGATGAGAATGAAAGAGTTCTTCGAGCTGTAGGTGGGACACTTCAAGACTTCTTCAATGGCTTTGATGCTTTGCTGGAGCACATTAGAACTTCATTTGGAAGACAGGCCACCCTGGAATCCCCTTCTTTCCTATGCAAAGAGCTCCCTGAAGGCAATCTCATGCTTCATTACTTTCACCCACATCAGATTGTGGGATTTGCAATGATGGGAATGATAAAGGCAGCAGCAAAGAAGATTTACCGCTTGGAAGTGGAAGTAGAACAGGTCACTAATGACAAGCTGTGTTCAGAGGGGACGAACCCAGGTAACTGCAGTTGTCTGACTTTCCTTATCAAAGAACATGAAAATGCAAATATCACAAAAACACTTCCACCAGGAACTTCCCAGTCCCCCTTAGACCTGAGGATTAGCATCAACACCTTCTGCAGAGCTTTCCCCTTTCACCTGATGTTTGATTCAAACATGCTGGTTCTTCAGCTTGGAGAAGGTCTTAGGAAGCAGCTCAGATGTGACACTCATAAAACTCTGAAATTCCAAGACTGCTTCGACATAGTTTCTCCTAAAATCAGTGCCACGTTTGAACGAGTTCTCCTAAGATTATCTACTCCCTTTGTCATTCGGACTAAACTTGAGGATTCTGGCTCTGAAAATAAAGACAAGGTAAGAATGTTAATTTGGAAGGGGATGTGTGTATATATGTGCAGTGGGAGAGCGTTATTCATTCAGAGATGAGCAAATCAAGTCCCATGTACTCTTGAAAGCTGCTTATGCCTTGCAAACAGGGGCTAAGTGGTATTCCCCAGCCAAGTAAGTATTTTCATAAATTATTTATAAGTTTTACCTGTGATGTTTTAGCAAATCATGACATTGCCATTCAGCAAATTCTGCTCTGTGGAGCTGAATAGTGCATCTTAAATTCAAAGGGTGAGGAATTTTACAAAATGCCCATATCTAATCATTAATTTCACTCCAGCTCTATTATGATAACAGTAATAGTTATTAAGCCATTTACTAGGGAATAGCTTTCAGTATGTTTTCTGAAATACTCCCACTGCAGGATTCACACAGCCACTTTATTGTATCCTGCTTCCCTATTTTGAAATGCTCTGTGTCTCTTATCTCTCACCCTGCACTCAAGGGAACCAGAGCTGTAAGTGGTACCAGCTATCACTTATGCCAGTTTTAATGCTTTCCAGTCCTTTAAATGGGCACTTGTCCTTCTACACTGCCTCTTCCTTCAGTGCTTTAGAAGAGAGTTACCTTAGCTAGCGAGCTCTATGTAGAGTCCAGTGTGTCCCAGGTGAGTTAGGTGAGAACAGGTCTTCTGGAGTGGACCTCTCCAGAGGCTGAATGGAGTTTGTCTCATAGCATATCCTTGAATTATGGGAAAGTTTTTTGGTGTGAAGTTGAGTTCCAGCTTTATGCACCAAAGTTAGACCCTGAACAACAAGCATCAGCACTAGCAGTGTAGTAGCAATTCAGATTTTCTTGAGAAGCAGGTAAAAGGGAATGGCAGTAAAGGAAATCCTATGTCTGCCAGCAGTTAGGAAAAAAATTTGGTCTTGAACAGTAAGGTGTAGATGAGAGAGAAAAGGGTGATGGTGAGGTGCAGGGGACCTGAGGTAAAAGTTGTGCTGCAGGCATGGGAGTTAATCTGAGAATGTCAGTTCAGCTGAAGAGGTATTTTCTTCTGACTCACCTGTTTTATAAGCACTTTCCAAAAGTTTCCGTTTGTTAGTAGTTAAACAAAGCTCAGCATGTGATGCATTTTGCTAGATATTCCCTTTTTTTTCCAAATGAAAAGTTGCACAGATTCAGAGGTTGTGGTTGACTTGCTTACATAGATTTTAAGAAGAGCGACATGGCAATACTGTTACGTCATGCTCAAGACCTTAATATCTCCTGGATAAAAAAAATAGGCTGAGCCTTGGGAACTGCATGCTGTGTTATATTCCCAGAGCTCATGTCACTCATGTAGCTCGTTTTGGAATTCTTTTCGATTTGCCAACACTCGTTTGGAAGTTGAATATTGGGCAGGTCGATTAGTGGCTGTAAGCATGACCCTGCTTAAAAGATGGCAGTAACGGACTTAGGTATTTCACTGTTTCTCTGTCACACACCTCTTTTCAGTTCATATGGTAAATGCATCCACTTATAGCTATTTATCTTTTTTTTAGAAAATTCTGTCTCTGCAATAACCTCCACACTTTTCAGACTTGGTTACTTTAAATGGCAGTTGAAGGGATGCGACCCAGACAACTATGCTGCAGTTTTGAAGCTGTTCAGTTTTCTTAGTGGTTCCTCAAGAAATAAAAAAATGTTTCAAAAGGCTTTGCGATGAACAGGGGACCTTTCAGCCTCTCTTCAAAGCACTTTTATCTTCATTTCAGTACATAAATTAGATCTTTTTTTCAGGCTTGCAGTGATAAAGACAGAATAACAAAACAGTTTTCATTTAGTCCTGACACCAGCTCTTTGTTCAGATGAAAGTAAGTCACAAATCATGATCTTTCCTTAACTCAGCACCCAGAAGCGAATTAAAGAAAACCACCTGTCCTGACTTTCAGGGTGCTTACTGCTTGTCCCGTTTATGCAATGGCTCATTTGTGTGCTTTGATTTACTGGGATTTGAATCTCTGGAATACATGACTTTATAACACTACCCTAAATTTCTGACATAAGGCCTGTGAGGTCTGGGTGATAGGTAGCATTTCCTGCAGAGATGTAGTAGAAGCACAGCCTCATGCATCAATGCATCAATATCTCAGCAAAACTATGTTAATTTGATATGTGACCAGCTGTTCCTTGGAGCTCTGAGCGTTTACAGCATCTCATTGTTGTAGGGACCAAACAGTAAAAAAGACTCTCCACCTGAAGAATGTGGACCTTATAGCTTTAATCCCAATTTTCAACACGATCCGTAACCCTGGGTCATAATTCTAATGTTTTGATGTTTGCTTGGTCAATATTTCAGTCTCCATTATACAGTGGACACACATGGACAATGCAAATGTTTATTCTGCAAAATAGTAAAAAATTGTATAAATTTATTAGGTCAGCAGTCTCACTGACTTTACCTGAACTTATCGTAAGTTTGCAATTAAACACACTTGTAAGTCTGTGGAGTAGAAGAACCAGATTGTACAAACTAATCCAAAATAAGACAGGATGTGATGGTTTACTTTGATCCTTTCTTCCCTCCCTCTTTCTGTCCTTCCATTTTATTTTCTGCAGTGATGAAGTTATCCACACTGATGCTTTGTTTTTTTTCTTGATTATTCTGCATGTTCAAAATTATGTGTGTGAACAATTATGACTGTCTTCAGGTCAGATTTTCTAGGATGCATACAGCTCTTTAGATGTATAAAAGCTGCATGTGATCGGCCTCTGAGGTTTCCAGTTTTTCCAAGCAGCTAAATTCTTGTTATTGTTTGTTGTTTATAGTATGGTATTACCCAGATGCTGAAGGGAGTATTAGGACCCTGTTGCTCTACTTCCTGTATAAACATTCTGTTGTTTTTCACATTTCACCCTAATTTTTATTCAGAGGTTTTTTGTGTTTAACTGGAGAGCTTCACTTACATGCAATCAGATTTTCCAAATTTTGGGTATTATCCCTAAATAACAAGGTCACAAATATTGCTATTTCACCTCTCTAAGGACACTCATTCTACACTTCTCTCTCTGGGAGCAATTATTTATTGCAACAATCAAAACCACATGTATTCTGGCAATTAACCGTTTGGTTAATTCACACATGGTTAATACAACTGTACTCCACAGAGTTTAATGAAAGTTAGTGGAGTCACATATGGAATAAGATATAATTTAAATTGAGATGCCTGGATCTGAACTTGTCTTCTGGAGTGTTCTGAAGCCCCTGTCAAGCCCACACACTGAGGTTTCCTTTCTATGAAGGTGCTGGCATGCAAGAGAGCTGGTAGTTGCGCACTGCCACACAGGGAGACAGGAGCTGCCTTGCTCTAGGCATCCCACAATCCTTGGTGGTGGGTAATCCTGGCTAAGCAACCATCTGGGAAGCACCACTGCTCCCTTCCTGACAGGACCTCCAGGGGTTTGCGCAAGGCAGATGGGTGTTTGCACACAAGTCTCTCCCTGACTCTCTCACCTGTGCAGAGAGTGTGTTGACATGACTGTTTCAATGCTTTGTGAGCACTGCACTGCTACACATGTGTGGTACTGACATTGCTGTCTCCCATCTGAGCTTCTGCAGGACTTCCACCTTCATACTTTTCCAATAGAAGTCAATTCCTCATCTCTGTGAGTCACTGTTATTTTTAAGGCAGATTATCTTTTACTGTGTCTCTTTGTGTATGCTATTTGTTTAAGCAAAGCTCCCCAATGGATATTATCTGATTCTGCTGCCTCAATGACTTTGGCTTTCTCGAGCAGTCTGATAGCTTCCTTCTCACCTTAATGGTGAGACCTTGCACAAATCTGTCTTTTAGTTGCCACCAAGGCTACATTTCAACTTCTCATTGAAAGTGCATCATAGGAATTTTCCACTTTGTCTTTTTTTTGTGGAGAACAAGACAATATACAGCTGATAACCCAGCAGTAAGTTGCGCATGTAGCATGAGTGCAGGTGGGCTGCCCTCCCACCATTTCTTAACCAGGCAAGGGCTGGAAGCTCCTGACAAGTTACTTCCTGAATGCAGTCATTTTCTGACTATGCTAATGAGTAAAGCCATCCGTGACATGATGTAAATACTTGCCTTCTTGACAGTACAGTGGGATGGCTGGAGCTGCTTCACTTTTTGGCTGAGTGGGAAGACAAGGGCTGACTCTCCTGGTTTTTTGCTCCTGGCTAATGTCCTCCTCACGTGCCACTCCTGTGCCATCAGTGCTGGGCAGATTGAGAGGAGACAGGGCTGCCCTCACAGGGACCCACTGCATCCCGGGGCCTTGATCCAGACCCAGTTCCTCTTGATGCATGAATTGACAGGATGAACCCTGCCAGCACTGGTTTGTGGGTGCCTTTCTGAAACTGTGACTTGGCATTCGGTTGGCAAGTTGAAAGGGCATCATGAAAGAAATTATTTGATTCCCGGCCAGATATTGTGCAGCTGTATTTTCCTTGTACTACTGCTCTCCTCAGACTTAACAGCCCTTTTCCACCTTTGAAATAAATCAGTTTTTATAAGGATACTCAGTGGCCTTTGACTTACTGTTAGGCCTGCGAATGCTTTAACTTAGAGAACTTGTCTAAGAATAAAGCTGGCATCCAAAACTTCATTACTGAAAGTAGCCAGGATTTTTCTGGTAGAATGTATGCTCTTTGAATATGCCGTTTTATTAAAAACATAACTTCCCCAGGTTATCAGCAAAATGTGTTCTGGAAAATAATTTACTTTTATTGTGTTAAAATGTTTTGTTCAATAATTTTAGATATAAAATACTTCTTATTAGGAAAAAGTTTCACATTATAAATTATAATACAACATTTAAAATATGAAACATTGGGGTGGACAAAAGAATCCTCTGAAAGTTTTATATTGCAGTAAGTTCCAAATACCACATATAATTCAGATTTTCAAGAAACACCAACTCTATAATGATAAAATGTCCAGCAAAATGGTGGTGTCAGCATTTTATAGCTCCACTGATTGCGCAGGTTTTCTTAACCAACACCTCGTTGT